TTTCTATTTTTCTTGTTTGGGAGTAACAGCTGTATTGGAAGAAATATCAGTCTGGTTCAGGTCCAAGCTGGGAGAAAGGCACTGGAGACAAAATGGAGGTGGATTTGCACTTAAACTTCCTGTTCAAGAACATGTATTCTATTGGCTGTTGTCAGACTCCATGGGGCCAGGTGCAAATCCTAGGAGTTTGTCTGAGCTAAATTTGGTTGAAGTTTGAACTGCTGTGGATGGGGCAACTGAGATGATGCAATGAAGGGGCTTTAGGCAATTCCTATTGTGTCTGAGGGCTAATACTACCTTTGTTGGATCTTGGGTAAGGGCTTTTGCTTATGAATAGAGCTATCTATCTCTTTATCTCTTAAGTGCTGACATTTACTGTGGGCTATTCAGGAAGGTAGGGACTGCTTTCCAAGAGCATGTTTCTCCATTCCTCATCCAGGGAAATATAATATCCTGCCTTTTAAATATTTCTCAAAATATTTTATTCTTCTAGGAGAGGGGTGGGTGCTAACTTTCTACAGCCGGAAGTGTATTTATTGCTTCCGAAAACAACTCTGCTGGTTCAGAGAACTTGGAAATGTGGGCGTATAGATGTGCATATGCACGCCATAGAGATCCTGAAAAACTCTAGGAAGAATTGACAAGTCCGAATAGATTTCAAAAGGTTAGGAATGACACCGCAGGTGGGGAGTTTTGCTTAGTGTTAAAAAAACGGAGAAAGAATGCCCGAGGCATTTAAGCACAGCACTTTGAGGCTCGGTCATTGCTCAGTACAGTGGTCGCCAACCAGTAGGACAGGGACCACTGGTGGTCCGCAGAGAAATGTCACCCCCCAGAGCACCCCCCCAAGCAATTAATCCAGTCTGTGCGGGAACACAAGGCTGCACCGCCCACATGGCCTGTGGGAACACAAGCCTTGCGTTGCTTGCATTGCGAATAACACAAGGTAGTGAGGGGAGGGGGGAAACAGCAGAGGGGGGGAACTTGCTCCACTTGCCCCATGCACCTTGCCTGGCCACTGGGTTGCTTCTTTCCACTTCTTTCTTCTTCTGCTTTTGGCTGCGTACAAGGAAAGCAGAAAAAGTCTTTCTTTCTCTCCCCCAAACTCCACCAGAAATGAGTCTTTGGGACCCTGCAAGGCATCCTGCTCCAAGAGGCTGCACCAGCGCAACAAGTCTCACAAAGACTCATTTCTGGCGGAGTTTGGGGGAGAGAAAGAAAGACTTCTGCTGCCTCTGCTGCTTTCCTTGCATGAAGCCAAAAGTCTCTCTCTCCCGCCCCCAGAATGCAGCTGGAGACAGTATCCTGCGATCTCAAATAAAGAATGATCCATGGGTAGGAAAACAGGGTGAGGTTTTGGGGATTTTCTCAGGGTCTCTGGTCCGCGGGATTTAAAATTATGAATTTGGTGGTCCCTGAGATCCAAAAAGGTTGGGGATCCATGGTCCAGTACACCTCACAGAGCTGTTGTGTGGCTTGAGCACATTTAGCTTTCAAAGCCCTTTTCGGTATTTGTGTCCAGGGACATTTGCATTTCCAAATGCTTCAGACTGCAAGGAATGAACTGCAGAGGCTGCACGAATCCCTCTTTGGGATACCTGGCAGATCCCTTCCTACCGATATCTCGAAGGGAGAGTCTTTAATGCCAAACTTTCGGCGGAGGTTCTTTTTCACGCACATGCCTCCCGCTCTCCTATTTCCCGGTCTCTTTCTATGAAAGCTGCTGCTTCGGGTGTGGGAATCAAAGCCGGACAGTGGAGCGCAGAGCAAGCTCGGCCATCCTTTCCCCAACCTGAAGCCCGGACCAACCTGAAGGGGGGCGGGGAAGCAAGGCATTTTCGGGCAGCGCGGAATAGCGTCCCCTCCACCAAGCCCAGGTTTGCACGACCCTCTTCCGAGGAGACCGGGTGACGCCGAGCGGAGTCCTCGCTTTGGCACTGGGAGGGTCGGCTCTCCCCCGGCCCCGTGCGCGCGCGTGCCCGCCTGCGCGCTCTCTCCATTTCTCCATCTCCCTGCATCTTTAGGCTCGGTCCTCGCAGGGGCTCCCGTATGGCTGGGAAGTGACCCCCCTGCTGCCGCTTTCCAACCCAGGTGGCGAGCTTGCATCCCAGCGGCCAGGGCCCCCTGCCTGCCTCTTCCTCTCCAGCGGCTGCGGTAGCGCTTCTCAGCCACTCGCGTACTCCGCCTCTCTTTCCCTCCCTCCCCGCCCGTCTCCTTGCCTGCCTGCCCCCGCCTTACTTTGCAGGGCGCAGAGCCCCCAGCCCATGCGCTTGGCCGGCGCTCCCCTGCTGCGCGCCTTGCTTCCAGCCCCAGCCAGCAGGCGCGATGTCCAGCGCGTCGCACGACCCCTTCTACTCCTCGCCCTTCGGCCCCTTCTACCAGCGCCACACGCCCTACATGGTGCAGCCTGAGTACCGAATCTACGAGATGAACAAGCGGCTGCAGGCTCGCTCCGAGGTGAGTGCGCGCAGCCAGGCCAGCCACTGCGCCTCGGACTGGCTCATCTTCCCCTCTTCGGCTCGGTCCTCCAGAACTGGGCGGGGGGGCGCACCTCTCGGCCAGCTTCGCTCTCTTTCTTGGGCATTCGTGCATCGAAGCAAGATTTAAGCGGCGGGTTGGTGGGGTATTCAGTTGTTTTGGCTGTGACTCCCCGCCAGCGCACATGCACTGGCCGGTTGCGTGAATTGGAAGAGGGAGAAAGGAAGAGGCGACTTGGCCCAACTTGCTGCCGAGAGGAGCAATGCCCCCGTAAAGCGATGGCCACATTTGTCCCCGTTGTGGTTTGGAGGATCTGAGGGGCCGGGGTATCTTTCCCGGGAGGCTCGCCCAACACGATTCTCTCTGCTGGTCCCAGAGCAGAAATGCTTGTCCTGGATGGTTCTTGTCTTTAGTTGCTTTTGCGCGCGGGGCAAGGAAGCAGTTCCTCCCAGGGCCGGACTAGTCCTTTTTCGATAGCACAATTACTTTTCTGTAATTGTAGTTTTCTTTTCTGTAGTTTTTCTCTTGGGGTTGAACTTAAATTTTGGGGGTTGGGGAATGGGGTTTGGCTAGGTTGGCGAAAGCGTGCAAGGGGCTCCGAGTTGTCGAACCAGACAGAGGCTGCCTTGCGGGATATGGGGGATCAAGGTGTAACTTGCTTTCTGGCTGGTGTCTAAGGAGAATGGCTTAGATTTCCAGACACTAAACTGGGTTTGTGGGTTTGTCTCCTTTCCAACCATCATTGTGCTTTCTGTTTATAATTGGGGGGCTGTAGAATTGGGGGGGGGGGCTGGTGTCCACTTCCATTGAAGTTGAAAGGAAGTTGAGGTCCCCATGGCTTGTAGTCCCAAATGCTCCTGGAAAATGTTGATTTTGAGGTTTCTCAGATTTATACAGCTCCCAAACCTACAGTGTGCTCTGACAGCCATTACATTTCAGCATCATTTTGGAGAATTCTGCTTTCCTCAAATATTTGATAATAAGGGAAGGCACTGAAGCCTGGCATATCTGCTGATACTTTTCTGCAGATTTTTACTAGCAGTTCCTAGGTTAGTTAGTTCCTTCTTCTTGCTTAAGCTTACGGATTAGATTTTGTGATTTGCAGCAATCCATCTTGAATTTGGCAACTGATATTTTCCATGATTACAAGATGTTTCCTTTTGGAAATCGCTTTCTTTTCCCACTAAAGAAAGTTTTGAAAATATATTTACAAAGATTGAAGCTTATTAGCTTGAATTGATTAGATTGTAGTCAGTTGAATTTGTTCCCTGGTTACTCTGTTGCCTCACCTGGTGTGCCTGTTTCTTAGGAAGGACAATGCTAAGATATTTTCCCTGTTTTTCTGAGTTTTGCAGACTTCTTTAAAACTTAGATGGCTTCAGAACTATCTATTTTTGAATTTTAGGCCCACCACTAGTTCTGCTCTTGTACACATTCCATTAGAGAAGGAAAATAAAGTTCCATCAGCATGTCATCTTCATAAAGAATGGATCTTCACCACAAAAAATTATCAAATGTAGGAACTCTGGTTCACTGCCCCATTATCTATAAATGGATTTACTTACAGTCTGTCACAGGATTTCTTATTATAATCAGATGTTAAAGGAGTGAATAGAATTGAACTGTTTGTCATTAACATTCTACATTTGGTAGTGAGTCTTCATAATTTACATATAGCAGCTATGGTTCTATGGATCAGCAATCAGGGTAACTTCTAAACTGGTCACATATTTTCTGATTAACAAATGTGGTTAACAGGCACAAGAAAGCCTTTAACATCCATTGCACCATAAATGACATTTGTTAGTCTGAAAAGTGATCACCCTCTTGATTTTTGAGAACTACCTACACAAAAGTCCGTTGACGTATCAGTTGCCATCTCAGACAATTTGGCAATTTTGGATGACAAAGTGAGATACTTGTATTAAACATAAATATGTGTGTACTTTATTATAAATGTTTTAATACAACAGCTTAACTTTTGTGTACTTGTCAATGATCTTGAGTACTATCATTTCAGCAATTGCTTGAAGTTGTGAAGAATTGATTTCGGTCCTGGAAGATCATTTATGCCAGAACATATGGGATATGATATTGCCTTAGAACAGAATCATAACAACTAGCTTTATTTTTTTCTTTCCATAACATCTACCTGTGTTTCCCCCAAAATAAGACCCAGTCTTATTTTCTTTTGGGCTTGACAATAAGCATTGGGTCTTAATTCTGGGGAGGTTTTATTTTTTAAGTGCAGGAGGTGCTGAGTGCAAGGGCTGATGGGAGGGGGAGCATTGGCCCCACCCTCTCCATCCCACTTTCTGCTTGCCCACGGCTGCAATGGGCCAAGCTCTTGGCATGCCCCAGCGTCCACCCACCTTGCCTGCTGGCCCAGCTTCTGCTGGGACATTTCTTGGCCATGGTGTCTTGCGGGGGCTCTTCATCATCCAATTGAGATTGGCCCAATTGAGGCCACAGGCAAGCAGCCAGCAGGATGGAGATGGCAGGGCTAGTGGTAGCTATCCATAAACATTTTGCCCAGAGGGAGATGAAACATTGTCTGCTTGCAAAGGAGACGGTTTGAAATGGAGCTCCGTTTCAAACCATCCCCTTTGCTAGCACATGAAGCTTTGAGTCTGTGTCATTTTTCCGTCTGGATGAAAAGTTCTGCTGAGAGCAGCTGCACCTGTGGTAGGAGCTTCATGGCATTTTGCGAGCCACTGCGCCGGTGCTATGAGCTTCGTCTCGCCGGTGGAGTCACTCTTGGCACAACACCATGAGTCTTGTCTCACTGGTGCTACTGCTCATGTACATGATGGCCCAGTGCACCACGCTGCATCTAGCCACATGGTGTATCATGAGTTGGCTCCACTAGCAAGATGAGCCTCGTGGTGTTCTGCCACAAGCAGCTGCACCGGTGCAACAAGCCTCATGGCATTGTGTCGTGAACGGCTCCACCAGCACAACGAGCCTTGTCTCGCTGGTGGAGCTGCTTGTGGCAGAATGCCGTGAGGCTTGTTGCACTGGTGGAGCCGTGCTGCGAGTCTTGTCTTGCAGCTGCTGCTGCTGCTGCTCTCACATGTGACATCGCAATGCACCACACAGCATCCAGCCTCATGGTGTTGTGCCATTGCTGGCTCCAGCAGCAAGATGAGCCTCATGGCGTTCTGCAAGCGGCTCCACCGGCATAATGAGGAGGGGTGGAGGGGTGGGGTGCATGGGGTACCTCCACCCCTCCATCATAGCTTGATTTTTACATCTGCACCTCACCCCACCTCATTCAACAAGATGTGGGCGGGGCTTAACTAAGGCTTATTTTGAGAGTAGAGTTTATATTGGCCACAAATGTAAAAATCAAGCTAGGTCTTATTTTTGGGGAAACACGATACAGAACTTGTGTATCAAACACCATTGAGATGGAGTTGTTAAATTCCTAGTGATCTGGGATGGGGTGTTTTCCCAACAGTTAGCATCCTCTGTCACCTGTCTACCTCTTAGCTTTTGAACTACCTGGCTATCATTTCTTTTCTAAGGATAACTTTCAGAGTTCTGTTCCTTTCTATACAAAACATCTTTGCCGGCATTCACATAATATATTTCTATGCTTTAGCTCTCCAGATTCCTAGGATGTTGTTAAGTGAGTAATTTCTAAAACACTTTGACATTTAGATGGAAATGTTGACCAACAATTATTGAGCTATTGTCATTTAGTAACTAAAAAGGTTGGGTTGTTTACTAAGATGTGTGCAAAAAGAAAGATGGAGCTTTGATCACATAGTCATGGCTGCCATCCTGACTTTGTTGAACCCTTCTCCCCCTTCAGATGCCCCTAGCTGTATCCATAACAAACATAGAAGATGGTCTGCAGTGAACCTTTGTTCTCTCTGTTTCACCATTTCTTTCCTCTAAACTAAGTATGGGAGCAAGTGTGAACTTGTATATTTTGAAAAGTCCTGCTAGTGATCATAAAATCCCATTTGGTCTAGTTGTTAAAGCACCAAGCTAGAAAGCGGGTGATCATGAGTTCTAGTCCCACCTTAGCTATGAAAGCCAGCTGGGTGACCTTGGGCCAGTCACTTTCTCACAGCTCACCTGAGCTCAAAGTGCTGATGTATAAGAAAATAAAAGGAGGAAGGTGTGCTGCATATGATTGCAAATTAAAATATGCAGAAAATAAGGTAAGAGAACACCTGTCACCTCTAGATGGATTCAGATCACCGAATCTTGATGGACTTGCATTCCAGAGTTCTGAAGGAACTAGCAGATGTGATTTCAGAACCACTGAAACATATATCTCATAGTTCTTGGATTACCGGGGAACTACCTGAGGACTGGAAGAATGCTGATGTGGTCCCCATTAAAAAAAAAAAGAGGTGGGAGGAACAGATCCAGGAAATTACAGACCAATCAACCTGACATCATGGAAAGATAATCAAGCAACAAATCTGCAAACCCCTAGAAGCAAGCAAAACTATAGCCAGTAGCCAACATGGAACTATATCCACATGGAGGGAAGTAAGCAATGGGATACCCCAAGATTCCATTTTACTCTTCAATATTTTCATAAATGATCTAAATGAAGGGGAACTTGTCAAATCGGCAGATGACATTAAGCTGGCAGGAATAGCCAAAGGCATATTCAAGATCCAAAAAGATCTTGACAGACTTACTGGGCCCAATCTAACAAAATGAAATTCAACATAGATAAAAGTTAGGTTTTACACTTAGGCAAGAAAAACCAACTGTAAGTATAGACTAGGTGAAACATGGCTCAATTGTGAGAGGGATCTTGGAGTCCTAGTGGACAATCACACAAATAAGAGTGTGGCAGCAGCCAAAAAACCCAATGGCAATCCTAAACTGCATTAATAGAGGGATAGAATCAGATAACATGATGTTCTACTACAGCTTTACTTAGTAAGACCACACTTGGAATACTGCATTCAGTTCTGGTCACCACAATACAAAAAAGATGTTGAGACTCT